GCACGTGCAGAAAACAGAGAAGCCAAGGCAAGAATTCTACTTAAATTGCACCTGCAGAAGGCACGTGCAGTGAATGTTCCACACGTGTGGCCTGTGTACGGGGCAGGTTGGTCCCGGTTTTGTTTCCACTCCTCTTTTCCACCTTTTGAGCCTCTGTTTACAAGTTTTAAAAGTGTTTTTCATGTGCGTTTGCATCTCATGATCATGGATGAATTCAAGAACAAAACTTTAACTAGACAGATGAGCAACGATTAGAAACTGAGAAAATGAACATCGAATAGAAACTGAATAAGTAATGAACGAGGAGAACTGATTGAATGAATGAATTGTAGATTGAATCGTTGTGCTGGAATTTGTTTGTTTAGGTAGGACGCCGCATCTTTAGTGCCTTATAGCACGTGTTTCAAGGAGCCCACTATGAGTAATAATGTTGTAAAGATATGTTCAATTGTAACTATTTTCTGATCGTTTAAATGTACTATTTTCTGAAATGATATTATTATTTGAATGAATGATTGTCCTATTTTGTAAACTGTACTTGTGGCATCCATAGCAACTGTTATTGCTACTATTACTGTTACTATTACTATTACTATTACTGCTACTGCTACTGTTACAAAGATCTCTGTCAGTTCCAATGTTGGAACTACTGTTTACTGATATGATGGCCATCAATTGACTGTTCGGTCTTTTAAGACCTACTGTACTGTTTAGATATTGGATGTACCACGTATGACTACTATGATTCCTATGTGATAGATATGATATGGAATTAAGAAATATTGATCAATTAAATGATTTACTGATGCAAATGACTATTTTAGACATTGAAAGGACATTCATTCTTAACCCCTTTACGCATTTATCATTCATTGGGTTTTAGCTCACTGTATATATATGTATATATATATATATATGTATGTAGGTGATCAGGCACCTGAGCAGAGCTAGCAGCTTGACCCAAATTTGTTTTGTCAAGCCAACCCGTTGCGTCTCATTATGAGACTTCGATCCGTTGATGTCAAGGCTTTTTGGGTGATCTTTTTCCACCCCTTTTTGGAGAGATCTTTAATGTCTAAGTAAATGTTTATGCTTTATTTTTGGCTTTGGGATTTTACTCCCTAATTTGTCTTGGATGTTTTGGACTTGAGTTTTTATGTATATGATGGACATAGACTCGAACTTATGTGTGCATTGGTATATATATATATATATATGGAGGTTGTTTGTTCATTTACGTTATCACAGCTCTTTGGACATCATGACTTAATTTGTTCAGGCTTCCGCCGGCCCCCCTTTTATTGTTTAATTATTATTACTGTTGAACAGGCCTTTAGCAATCACGGATTACTGACCGGTTACGATGCTAAACCCTTCAGGGCGGGTTTGGGTCGTGACGGAGTGGTATCAGAGCACGAGTTGTACCACTCACACGTGTCCAAATGAGCTATAAGATGTTCTAGAAAAGCAATTAGGGCACTGCATGAGCATAAGTAAGTGTGCGTGGACATGATATGTGTATATGTGCTAACGTGCATAAGTAAGCTATTTTTTCCTATGTTTATTATTACTGTGTTGTATTTAGTGCAATGGAGAATGCAAGGAATACAGATGAACTTGAATCATCCGCAACAAGAATTGCAAGATTGGAAAGAATGGTTGCGCGAGTTGTACCACACACACGTGTCCAAATGAGCTATAAGATGTCCTAGAAAAGCAATTAGGGCATTGCATGAGCATAAGTAAGTGTGTGTGGACATGATATGTGTATATGTGCTAACGTGCATAAGTAAGCTATTTTTTCCTATGTTTATTATTACTGTGTTGTATATAGTGCAATGAAGAATGCAAGGAATACAGATGAACTTGAATCATCCGCAACAAGAATTGCAAGATTGGAAAGAATGGTTGAATTATTGACTGAGGCACTAAGACAACAACAGAACCAACAACCCCCATCCTGTAACGCCCGCATCCTTTAATCATTTGGAGAGTGTGTTTAATATCCTTATTTTTATCTTGGGAGTCTTTGGAGTTATTGTCTATTGGTTTTGAAGGAGTACAATCCGATTTAAACTCGTTGGGTTTGTTCGTTCGCATTTGTTCGTTCGCGTTTGTTCTTGTCAAAGTTCCTTGGAAACTTAGAAATTTTACCTTGGGGTCAACATTAGCCTTCCTAAGGGTCGACCCTTACCTGTTAGTGAAATTTCTGGAAGTGTCGCTGGAAAATAGGGTAGACAGCAGTCTGGAGAGGGTCGACCTTCTTATGTTGTAGAATTTCTGTGTTAGTTGCTGGAAAATAGGGTCGACCCCCTCCTGTCTAAGGGTCGACCCTCTTGCTTGTACCAGATTACCTTTTCTTCATAAAGGGTTGACCCCTGCGTGTTTTTTTTTTCAGATTTTTGGGCCAGTTTGGGCCCTACTTTTTGGGAGTTTTGACTTGTTCCTTTCATTTGACTTTGGGGCTATTATTCTATTATTACCTTGTTACTATAAATAGGCTCCAAACATATTTTATTTCACTTTTTCTTTCCTTTTCTCTCTCTCAACCCGTGAGTTCTCTTCTCTCTCTCTAAACTCAAGCTTTTGGCACTAAGATCCCTAGATCTACTCACCTAGAGTGATCTTTTCACCATGGTCTTTGAGAAAAAGTGTAGATCTCGTCAAGGGCATCATTTTGGTTTGAAGAGTTCGTGGTTTCGTCGCCATTGATGTTTGGGTCGTCATCTCTTGGCTTCAAGAGGTAGGGGTCTCTAGTTCTCTTTCAATACCCTCGTTTATGGATAGATTTGTGGTTTTTTCCTTATATAAACACAAAAGTTTATATTTATATGCATATTGTGATGAATCACGAGATTAGGGGTTAGGGCTTGAAGATAGTTGGGTTATGATCTTGGGTCATGAGTTTGGGTGTAAAAGTAATAGAAGGGTTGGAATAAAATGTGTTTTGTGAAAAGCTTTAATTTATCTTAAAAACCTTAAGTTAATTCATGATAATAATTAATGATTTTGCCCAAATTGAAAGTAGAATCATGAAATTGAGATATTTAATTATATATATACAAGTTTAATTGGATCCTGGAAGTGTTTGAAAATTATGTTAAAAATTAGCAAATGAACCCTTATTATAGACATTGTAAATCATGCCATAATGTGAAATGAAGATTGGGGAAAATGATTTATTAATGATATGGATGACATGAGCCTAGGGGTGAAATGATGAAATGAAAGTATAAGTGTTCACCTTGAATTATGTTGAATTGTGTTGAATTGTGTTGAGTTATGTAGAATTGTGTTGATTATGTTGAAGTGAGTTGACTATGTTGAATTGTGTTGAATCATGGTGAGTTGTGTTGAATTGTGTTGTGTTGGGTTGTGTTGAGTTTGGGTTGAGTTGTGTTGGGTGGTGTTGTATTGGTACCAGAGTGGGGAGTTGAAAAATGGTTTTTTGATGCCCACGACTGTCCGTATCATAGCCAATACATGTGAGGGATTGGTTTAAAAATTGAAAAATGGTTTTTTGGTGCCCACAACCGTCCGTATAATAGCCGGTAAATGTGGGGGTGGTTTGAATTCAAGGTGCCCAATTGCCCTGTCTAGGCTTATCGCTGGACGAATGTGGAAAAAATGCTTTTGGGTGTCCACACAGTCCTGCTGTATTGTAGCCGGCGAAAGTGGAAAAACGGATGGTATTGTAGCATGCATGTATATATATACACAATGCATTGCTGAGGCTTCCTCTCTCTCTCTCTCTCGTTGTGTTGGTACCAGAGTGGGGAGTTAAAAAATGGTTTTTCGATGCCCACGACTGTCCGTATCATAGCCGATAAATGTGAGGGATTGGTTTAAAAATTGAAAAATGGTTTTTTTGTGCCCATAACCGTCCGTATAATAGCCGGTAAATGTGGGGGTGGTTTGAATTCAAGGTGCCCAATTGCCCTGTCTAGGCTTATCGCTGGACGAATGTGGAAAAAATGCTTTTGGGTGTCCACACAGTCCTGCTGTATTGTAGCCGGCGAAAGGGGAAAAACGGATGGTATTGTAGCATGCATGTATATATATACACAATGCATTGCTGAAGCTTCCTCTCTTTCTCTCTCTCTCTCTTTCTCTCTCTTCATTCTAAGTAGTCATTTTCCCTCAATTCTAAGAGCATATGAGCTCTTTTTCCCTATAGTAACATGCAAACAACCATGTGGCAAAGTTGCCACCGAAATTTGCAATTATATATATATATAATTGAGTATTTGTGTGGGTTGCTTAAAATTGATACACTAAGATTTTTAACTAAGGTATTTTGTAAAAATAATTATCATGTTGAATCCTAATTAAAATAATTTATAAACAATAGATATTGAATACCCACAAAATTATTATTCTTAATAATGCCTTTGTTAGTGATTGAATTGGGTTAATTTAAAACTAACTTTTACACTAATATATATTTTGGATAGACTCTGGATAAAATTAATTAATTAATTAATTTATTTATTTTCTTTTAAGAATAATTAAATGTGGGTTTTCACACTTATCAAGTAGTAAGTGTTGTTTAAATGACTGATAAGTCAAGTTTAATAAAGTAGTAAGTAGAGTCTCATTGAGTAGTAAGTGTGATTCAAATGAGTGGCAAGTCAAGTATGATAAAGTAGTAAGTAGAGTCTCATTGAGTAGTGTAATAACCCAACCCTTGCATGTGTTTCTGGTATATTTTCAGTCCCTCACTTTGCGTGTTTATATACTTATTGTGAAATTCCATGAGAAATTAAGTTTAATTAAGTGAACCTTATGACCATAGATTCATATCTGTTTAAGAAGAAAACATATCTGTCACAATTAAAATGTTTGGATCAAGAATTGAAAGCCTTAAGAGCTTAATAATCCGAAATTGACTTTATATTTGAGATCAACATAATTTTTAAGTTATAATAGGCATTTTTGTGAAAATTTGATTTGGGATGATTAAATTGATTAAGTTTTGTCTTATTCAACTTTATATATATATGGATACTTTAGCCCTTTTGACTTGGGGGCCATTACTCCAAATATCTCCTGAGAGAAAAATTAGAGAAGGAAAGAAAGGGTTTGAAAGGAAGAGAAGGAATTCATCAAGAAGAAAGATTGGGGAATTGAGAGGGGTTGTAGGGTTTAAGGCTCAAGGTATGTGAATTTTATTTTAATTAAGTTTTTTCTTGGATTTGAGCAAGAATTTCCTCTTTTATTTGTGAGATTTGGGGTTGTAATTGGAGTTGTGTGTGTGTTAATTGTTGAATTAAAAAAATGTTTTGTCACATGGTTGATTGGAAATATTGTGAAATTAAGTTATGTTTATGAGTTGTAAGAAGAAGATCCAATTCATAATGAGATTGATATATGTTGTAATGTTTATGTACATGATTTTCAAACTATATGTTAGCAATTAAAGAACTTATTTTGAACCTTGAAAAAGTTTACCAAAAATTGAGTTTTGCTGGAATTTCGGATTGCAAACTGTGCAGAATCGCCGCACATGCGGGGGTCATGGCCGCACGTGCGGGGCTCACAGCTGCACGTGCGGCCCAAGCTGGAAAAAATGTTCTGCTTCGTTTCGCGTGCTTAACCCTCTGTATTTTTGAAATCTATGTTTGATGTCCCTAAGATGCCTGTAAATTCATTCGAAGTAAAATGAAGCAGGAAATAATGAAAAGAAGAAAAAGAACTAATGTATAAGTTGTGCACATGTGTAGGTCATAATTTGGGAGGGTCAAGCGCTCCGCTATAGCACTGTGAGTAGTAGTACTGTAATCGTACGTTTACTTACCGTTAATAATTAACGCTCTGTTTTTTTTTATAACCAAGTACGTTAACATTTATGTTGTTTGGAGATCGGTGAGAACATTGAAAGATTATATGTACCTCGGTATGACTCTGGAACTACTCTGCATTCCGGTTACGGTTAATGGTTATCATTAATGTGCTATAACTTGTAAATTACCTAAGACTCCGCACAAGATTTATTAATACGATGCAATTAGTTAACGGGAAGGAATTATGAATATAAACCCCGCTTAATGGGAACATGACATTTGAACGGGAACATGATATTTTGAACGTCCTATCAGGGATTCCTACAGTCTTATTTGGTTCGACACATGTTTTATGACATAGACATTTGCCTAGAATGGATTAACGAAATGAAAATCGGATAGAACCATGGGTTGCCTTATACATCAAGAATTGAATATCAATAACATTGTTATATGACTCATGTTATGGTATGAATTGTTCTATTCCCATGAATAGTACTGTAACGACACTTGGGCTTCTATAAATAATGATTATGAATGCTTGGTTATACGTAAGACGACTATGGCAACATGTAATGAATTATAAAGGGAAATTGATGTGCACCATTGTGAACGGTATTCGTATGAATCTGGCATTATTCTATTCCGTTTATCCATTTCATTTATATTATGACATGATATGAATTGTTCGGTCTTCAAGACCTATTGATTTCTGGTATGGAACAAAGTGCTGCATGGAACTAAGTGCTGCAATGCGAGTCACCTCTAGAATCCGTGCGAGCCACCTTTTGAATCCATACATATATGAACTGGGCTTTAAGCCGATCTGTTAATGTCTGGGCCTATGGCCGTTCTGTGAAATCTGTGAGGCCTATGGCCGTTCTGTGAAATCTGTGAGGCCTATAGCCGTTTTGTGAAGTCCGTTAGGCCTATGGCCATTCGGTATGATCTGTTATGGTATGAAACAAAGTGTTGTACGGAACTAAGTACTACGGGGTGAGTCACCTCTAGAGTCCGTGCGAGACACCTCTTGAGTTCAAACATACATAAAAAGGGCTTAATGTCATTCTGTCTAAAGGCTTAATGCCATTCTGTCTAAGGGCTTAATGTCAATCTGTTTAAGGGCTCAATGCCACTCTGTTCAAGGGCTGAAAGCCATTCTGTTGAAGACTGGGTTCACGGCCATTCTGGAGACAATTACAGGATAAGATTAATTATAAGTTCTTTGCATTTATATACCTTGTGATTCAAGTATTTATTGAATTATTACGTACTATAATTCACTGAGCTTGACTCACTTTATGTTATATCTGTTTCTGTAGGCACTCGACCTGGAGGTCGGTTGTAAGCCATGGCATTCGTACCCCTTTGCCAACCGCAGTATATCCAGGCACTTAGACAAAGCCGTTTATTTTGTAAAGTTGTCAAGCCTTTGGCTTTGCATTTGAGATGTGTATAACCTCTTTCTCACTAATATTTTGATATACGCCGAACGTGGGGCTGGGTCTGTATATGTACATGTACATAACTAAATATTCTGATGCACGTCACTGTATGTTCATTTACTTCATGTGATGTTGTGATCCTGGCATAGTAGTGGTAGCTCAATGGATGTTATTTTATGTTCATTTTTGATATTAATGCTTCCGTTCAGGCCCCATATCTTATGTACATCGAGTTAAGTGTCTGTTTCTGAAGTGGTTATACCCAAACTTTTAGGGGCTGGTTTTGGGGCGTGACAAGTAGTAAGTGTGATTCAAATGAGTAGCAAGTCAAGTCTGATAAAGTAGTATGTACAGTCTTATTGAGTAGTAAGTATGGTTTAAATGAGTGGTAAGTCAAGTATTAAGTAGTAAGTATGGTTTGAATGAGTGGTAAGTCAAGTCTGATGAAATAGTAAGTACAGTCTCATTGACTAGTAAGTGTGGTTTAAATGGCTAATAAGTCAAGTTTGATAAAATAGTAAGTAGAGTCTCATTGAGTAGTAAGTGTGATTCTGATAAAGTAGTAAGTACAGTCTCATTGAGTAGTAAGTGTGGTTTAAATGAGTTAAGTCTAATAAAATAATAAGTAGAGTCTTATTAAGTAGTAAGTGTTGTTTAAATGACTGATAAGTCAAGTTTGATAAAGTAGTAAGTAGAGTCTCATTGAGTAGTAAGTGTGATTCAAATGAGTAGCAAGTCAAGTCTGATAAAGTAGTACAGTCTTATTGAGTAGTAAGTATGGTTTAAATGAGTGGTAAGTCAAGTATTAAGTAGTAGGTATGGTTTAAATGAGTGGTAAGTCAAGTCTGATGAAATAGTAAGTACAGTCTCATTGACTAGTAAGTGTGGTTTAAATGGCTGATAAGTCAAGTTTGATAAAGTAGTAAGTAAAATTTCATTGAGTAGTAAGTGTAATTATGATAAAGTAGTAAGCACAGTCTCATTGAGTAGTAAGTGTGGTTTAAATGAGTTTAATTATCATTCAAAAACACAACACTTACCATTGATTCTCATGCTACTTGCAACTCTTTGTGACTCAACTTACCACTTACAATCTATTTTACCACCTAGTATTTTACTTACCATTTTCTACTTGCTTTTTCTTAATTAATTTGTTTCTGCTTATTGTATATGGAAGAATAACATTATATATGAACTAGATGATGATGACGATAATGATGGTGAGTATAATATTCATAATGAAGATGATATCGTCAATTCTAATGATATTCCAACCGAAAGAGATATTAAGCGTCTAGATGAATTAACTGAAAAGGATGTGTTTGAAATGACATTTGATTTAGAAGAAAACGGAGAAAGATTTTATAATTCGTATGCTAAGGTGAAAGGCTTTAGTATTCGAAGGGATCAGTTGTATAAGGACAAGAATAATATGGTTATATCAAGGAATTGGGTATGTTCAAAAGAAGGATACAGACAATCCAAATACCTTGAGGTTAAAGAACGTAAAAGACAACCAAAACAATTAACTAGAGTTGGTTGTCGTGCTTGTTTTCGTATCAAATACAATCGGAGTACTTCCAAATATGAAGTGAATGAATTTTTCAAAGAGCACAATCATTCCATGATAGGGCCTCTTGGTGTTCAATTTCTTCGCTCACACCGGAATGTTACGAGTGCCAACAAGGCACAAGGCAATGCAATGCATCATATTGGTATGAGGACAGGTCATATTATGGACTTTGCTGCACAACAAGGTGGTTATGAGAATGTTGGGTTCATATAGAAGGACATGTACAACCATTTTGGGACTGAGCGTAGAGTGCAAGTTATCGATGATGACGTAGATGGTGCTTTGGCTTACTTATGTGGTAAAGAAGAGCAAGATCCAATGTTTTATTATAAATATGATGTAGATGAAGAAAATCGATTAAATAATTTGTTTTGGACTGATGGTGGATCTCGAACAGATTATCTGCATTTTGGTGATGTGATGATGTTTGATACTACGTATCGGACAAATCCGTACAACAAACCTTTTGTGATACTACAAAATGTGAGCAACCACTTTCAAACGACTGTTTTTTGGTGTGCACTGTTAGCTTCCGAGACAGTAGAGACATATATATGGGTGTTAGAGAAATTTCTTGATGCGATGGATCACAAGATGCCTCTGTCCGTAATCACTGACGGGGATGAGGCCATGTGTAGAGCAATCAAAACAGTTATGCCTACTGCTCGACATCAATTATGTAAATAGCATCTTAAAATGAATGCTCTTTCCAATATCCATATAGAGGGATTTCTTCATAGCTTTGAAAAATACATGTCAATGCAATGTACATAAGAAATGTTTGAATTAGAGTGGAAGAACCTTGTACACAAGTATGGCCTTCATAATAACAAGTGGATTGCAGATGTATATTGCAAGCGTACTCTATGGGCTGAAGCATACCTCCATGGACATTTATTTGCTGGTGTAAAAAGCACGTAACGTTGTGAGAGTATGAATGCATTTTTGAATCGATTCCTAAAGGTGTGCCTAAGGCTCTTTAAATTTGTAAGGGCATATGATAGAGCACTTGTAAGACTTCGCCATAACGAGGCTAAGGCACAATCCGAAACTGAGAATACCACTCCTATTCTTTCTACAGGTATGAAAAGGATTGAAAGACATGCAGCTGATATATTTACTCATGCCATATTTTTCAAATTTCGCAAACAAATAAAATTCGAGCAAGTGTTATTTATGTCAGGAAAAACTGATATAGAAGATATTCAAGTATACTATTTGTCTATGTATACACATCCAGAATCCACATGGAATGTACAATATCGGCCAAGTGATCATGCCATGAAATGTTCTTGTTTGTATTTTGAATCATGTGGAATACCATGCTCCCATATGGTATCAATCATGAAAATGGAGCATTTGAAAGAAATTCCCTCTAGCTATATATTACAAAGGTGGACAAAAAATATCAAGTCTTCCACTTTACTTGGTAAGACCCCTTTTCCAGAATGGGTTACGCAAACAACACGGTTTGGTGCATTGTCAAGTGCATGTACTGAGATGTGCTATTATGCTTCGCACTTAACCAATGGATACGAAGAAGCTAGAGATGCAGTGACAAAGTTAACATGTCGAATGAAAGATTTGTATGTCCAACATGTTAAAGGAAATGGAACAAAAGGAAAAGCCAATATTGAAGGGACATGTTTGCATTTTGGTGTTGGTGATCCTCCATTTACAAAGACGAAGGGGAGTTGTTCTGTTGCAAAGGATAAGTTTTCAAAGCCAAGAAAATGTGGTCATTGCAGGTATCTAACAATTTAATTTATCTAGTAAGTATATTGAATTATAATTAAATTTATATCCTAAGTGTAATGTGTTTTGTTACAGAGGTACTGGTCATACGAGGAATTAAGTGTCCAAATCTAGAAAATGAGAATATTGATTATTTTCCTACACAAGATACTTATGTATCAAGGGCAAGCATGTTGCACCAAGAAGGTTCAATGTCGACCTTACTTTTACTAATAGTGACTACAATATAATGGGATGTGGTTCCAGTGGGCACCCTACTTTTGCTAGAACTGACTACAATATAATGGGATGGGATTCCAATATCTGCTAACTTTGTGGTAATAATTTTTTATTTAACTTTTATTCACAAAATTTATGTTTCAGAATTTATTAATTATTAGTTACATTATGTAGGTACGTACATGCTTAGAAACTCCTGACAGCATTTATGGCCGTGTCGTAGGAGGGACAATTGACTTGTCAAAGTAATTGTAGCAATCTTCAAGACAATCAAAGAAATCAGCCTTATGTTTTGATTTTTTGTGTGGCATTACTCGTTTGTGTAAGGCTTATATTTGTAAGGCATATGACTTTTTATATGTATAAGACAAATGATAGTGTAAGACTTTTACTATTCTCAAACACAATACTTACCACTATGATTTCATTCATCATGCTCATAACAACATAATGGTAAGTAATGTAGTAAGTGGAGTCTATTTTAAGTAGTAGTAAGTGAGGTTTATTTGAGTGATAAGTCAAGCCCAACAAACTGGTAAGTAGAGTCTTCTTGACTAGTAAGTATGATTGAATAAAATGGTAAGCCAAGAGTAATAAAGTAGTAAGTGGAGTTTATTTGAGTGATAGTAAGTAAGGTTTATTTGAATAGTAAGTGAAATGTAAAAAAGTTGTGTGACTTATATTTATAAGTCAATGCTTACTAATTGTTTTTATGCTACTTACCATTCATCAACACAATAATTACCATTATGATTTTATTCACCATGTTTGTAACAACATAATGGTTTTCTACGAACACATAAACGATTTGGCAAATAGTTTACAAAGTCATCATCACTATTATCAAAAAAGTCTGAAATGTCTGGATTAGAAACTAGCAATGGATCTTCAATGATTGCTGTGATAGCACTATCACAATCAAAATGAGATTTTTTCTTGGCATATTCAATGTAATGAAATCTATCCAATCTTCGTTGCATCTGTGTATTCTCTCTCTGTAGCCTTGATATGATTGTTGTATCATCACATGATTTGTTTCTACATAGTTCAGCTGAACGTGCCCTTGGAACCCGTAGCCCATGTCATCGACAATATATCTCAAGTTCACAACGTTTTTCGAAGAGGTCTTGCCATTGTAAGTTGTTTCTGTCAACATTGACCCCGTGTGATGGATGATCATATGCATGACCAACAATTATGTGACCCACATTTGATTGCCATGGATCATGCATGAAAAGAGGTTTATTATGGAAGTGACGTTTGGTTCCATACCATGTCTTTCCTAATGGATCAGTATAGGAACCTATTGTTGGAGGTGTTTGAAAATCATCGTCGTTACCATGACTAAATGTAGAGCTAGATGAACAATATTTTTAGATTTTCATTTAGGCATTTTAAGTACTTAGGCTTGTAGTGAAGTGTGATGTATACAAGTGACGTTAAATAAGGGTGCCACATGTGATCTATTAGTATTATTTTAATCATTGTTAATAGTCACATGTGAATAGTCATATGTACTAATGTCATGTTTAATCATGTTCAATCATTTGAATGGTCAATAGTCATGTGTACTAGTGTCATGATCAATCATTTTCAGTAGTCACATGTGAATTATATGAGTCCCATGAGAATAGTCAAACAGTACTAAAGTAGTAAGTGGAGTTTATCTTAGTAGTAAGTGAGACTTATTTGAATGGTAAGTTAAGTCTAATAAACTAGTAAGTAGAGTCTTTTTAATTAGTAAATATGATTGAATAAAATGGTAAGCAAAGAGTAATAAAGTAGTAAATGGAGTTTATTTGAGTGGTAGCAAATGAGGCTTATTTGAGTGGTAAGTTAAGTCTAATAAACTAGTAAGTAGAGTCTTTTTATCTAGTAAGTATGATTGAATAAAATGGTAAGCAAATAGTAATAAAGTAGTAAGTGGAGTTTATTTGAGTGGTAGTAAGTGAGGTTTATTTGAGTGATAAGTTAAGTCTAATAAACTAGTAACTTTTTAATTAGTAAGTATGATTGAATAAAATGGTAAGCAAAGAGTAATAAAGTAGTAAGTGAAGTTTATTTGAGTGGTAGTAAGTGAGGCTTATTTGAATGGTAAGTTAAGTCTAATAAACTAGTAAGTAGAGTCTTTTTATCTAGTAAGTATGATTGAATAAAATGGTAAGTAAAGAGTAATAAAGTAGTAAGTGGAGTTTATTTAAGTGGTAGTAAGTAAGGCTTATTTGAGTGGTAAGTTAAGTCTAATAAACTAGTAAGTAGAGTCTTTTTATCTAGTAAGTAATATTGAATAAAATGGTAAGCAAAGAGTAATAAAGTAATTAATGGAGTTTATTTGAGTGGTAATAAGTGAGGCTTATTTGAGTAGTAAGTTAAGTCTAATAAACTAGTAAGTAGAGTCTTTTTAACTAGTAAGTATGATTGAATAAAATGGTAAGCAAAGAGTACTAAAGTAGTAAGTGAAATTTATTTGAGTGGTAGTAAATGAGGCTTATTTGAGTGGTAAGTTAACTCTAACAAACTGGTAAGTAGAATCTTTATGACTAGCAAGTATGATTGAATAAAATGGTAAGAAAAGAATAATAAAATAGTAAGTGGAATCATTGAAGTATAATAAAGTGGTAAGTGATAATTAATTCAAATCATGCCCATGTACAATCCAAATCCAAATTACTAAAAAATGACAAAAATCATATGACTAAAATCATTTATTGTTTGCATCTCGAACTAAGCCCAGTGCTAATCTTTGTCTTGCATCTCACGAGTCAAATTGAAGCAAACAAGCTTCAGAATCAATAAATTGCACCAATTCAAAATACTTGATGACGTGCATTCCACAATCATAGCCATTACTTTGTTGTGGAAGCCATTCAAGTGTTCTAATTGGAAACTCAGTGATTTTATTTGTATATGCATTCTTGTACTGAATTCCCAATAAGTCATGTAATACTTCAACCTGCCATTTACATAACTAATTAGTAAGAAAATATGCAATACAAAATGCAAATAACAACATTGTATAAGGATGTATACTACTTTTTTTCACTTGAATTGGTCGAGTTCTACTTCTTCTTGATATATATAGATCAAGGATATATACCACTTGCTGTCGCATGTATACCACGCACATATACCAATGTTCACCCACATCATTAACTGGAATGTATACCTATATTAAATCGATAATCAACACTATCATATTCATTAACATATTAAACAAAAATAAAGTGAGATAACAACAA